CCTATGTAGCCCATCTATTGACGCATCCAACGCAGTTTTTATTATTTTCCTAGCGGCTATAATGACTGCGCTAGAGTCCAAAACGTGAATAGTGGGCATTGAACTTTCAAACCGCTGTAGGTGCCGGGGTTGCCAGATGTAGGCGATGAAAACAGTCAAATGTGATTTTGGGATGCGCCCTCCATCGTCGGATACCAATTTTCAGGTTCTAAAATTGTTCCTTTGACATTTACAGTTTTTGGGGTAAATCTCAAAAACTACCCTAAAATCGGGTAATTTTTTTCCACCACGTAAAAGAGTCCATACAGATGCACAATCGCTCCATACATGCCAAATACCTTCGGGGTTGCCAAATCGGTCAAAATCGAGGTTAAATTTCAAACGTTGTTTGCTCTCAGTGTTGCCAGTCGATCGTTCTATTTTTTCCATTGGGTATCTTGAAAAGTTAAAATTAAAATATTTGCATCAAAAAAGTTCAAAAATTCGACAAAAATTGTTTCCTCGAAAATCTCATAAAGTATCAAAAATTTTTGAGATTTTTTTTCACCTGGCAATACTTTAGTTACTTGCCTAAAAAATGTTTCCCCGGAAGTACTCTGACAAATGTCGGCGAGTGCGTCAAAATCGGCTCGACGTGGTGACGATACCCAATTTTTCGGATAAAATGGCCACTGGTTTGGCCGCCATCTTGAATTTTGAAAATGCGGCTCCGTATCGGTATGGCCAACTCGATAGCGCATCCGATGCACTTTTTATCATTTTCCTAGTGGCAATACTGACTGCGCTAGAGTCGACAAAGTAAAAAATGGGCGAAATTTTTCAAATCGCCGCTCCTACCAGGGTTGCCAGGTGACAACGATGAAAATGGCCAAATGTCATTTCTGAGAGTGCCCTCCGTCGAGGAAAAGCATTTTTAAAATTCCCAAACCGCTCCTTCTACTTTTCACCTTTTTGGGGTAAATCTTCGAAATTACCCTAAAATCGGGGAAAATTTTCACTTCATAGGAAAGAGCCGGCGGAGACTAATGACCGGTCCATACAAGGCGAAGAGCTCCGATGTTGCCATGTAGGCTAAAAGTGCGTTTGAATTTTTCGAAAAAGTGAAAAAATCACAAAATGGCCGCTGCCGGCGCCGCCATATTGATTTTCCCGAGTTTCATAATTTTCCCATAGTCACGACTATATTTGGCGTGCCACCTCATTCACAGATTTTCTCCGTTGGCCACCCAGGTTCCCAAACAATTCGGGATATGAGGGCAAGTCGAAAAACACGTTTTCTACCGTGGAGCCCAGGGTTGTCAGCTCGCGGAAACGAAAACTACCAAAAGTCATAGGGCTCCCCCGGCACCATACTGCATCGAGTCTGTTTTCCGCGAAAAGTGCGTATTTCGAAATTTCACTTTTCTCCCAAAATCTCATAAACTACCACGTAAATGGTAGAAATCGGTAGTGAAATAGAAAGATCGCACCGAGCCCCATGACCGCCCCATACGACATGAATCCGTCCGACGCCGCCATCTTGGAGAAAATCTCACTGGAAAATGGCGATTTTTCATTGCCGAAACAAAATGGCCGCCCCCGCCGCCGCCATGTTGACGCGCAAATGAAAACTCCCCGTTCGTGAAAATCGACTATACTTCCGAGCTGAAGGAGCAAAAATCCCCCCTCCGAACCCACCACAAAACAATTGACGATTGCCCGAACAGAGGTCGAAAAATGTCAATTTTCGAGGTAAAATATCTCGGCCGCCATTTTGTTTTTTTAATCAAACCCTTTTTCATTGCCATTTTTTTAGCCCACTCTACAACCATTTTGAATATCGTAATCATAGAGTGTATAATGTAGAAATTAAAAAAATTATCTCGCCGCCATTTTGTTTTTTGGCTGAACCGATATGCCATTTCAACTCATTTTAAAAAAATATTATCAGTCTCCATACATGAAAATGTCATTTTCCCCCTCTTTCTACCCGAAAAAAGCATGGAGTGAGTCAGTGAGTCAGTCAGTGGTAATTGAGCTTTATATATTATAGATATCGAGTTACAACAAATAACAATTTCTATGCGAAACGTTTAAAATATCTATTTGTGACCGAACAACTGTCTAGCTAGTCTACCGTTACATGCAACCCTCTAAGAACCCTCTTACCTCCTTAACATAATTGCACGGGATTTCCTTGTGAATCGTCTTCATTTGAATAACGTAGCAGTTTTATAGAGCATTTTATGTTCGTGTAGGCACATGCAATAACTTTTCTTTCTTTCACATGTCCTCATTTTTCTACTTCTGAGATAAGTGGATGAATCTTATAAAAAGCTTTATTCATTACATAAATTAAGGCTTACTAGCTGTATGCCGTAAATTTACCCACGTAAACTATATAAAAACGTAAAGTATGAAACACTGTCCGATTCGCTCTTGGTCGATTTATCTATACTTTAATGTCAATAATATAATGAGGAACGATTTGAGAGTTCATTTATTTGTTTGCAATGAATATATTCCGAAACTTTTGTTGATTGGACCCATATAAAAATTCTTTTAATTACGGAAAGCTCCATAATACGCGGGTGTAATCGGTTATATTTAAAAGCTAGTTTTCAATAATAACGACTCCAGTAACATGCATTATATGAGTATTTTAAATAATTATTAATAACATATTACGCTTATAAAAAACAGAAAGATAGACGACAATAGCCACATCATAAAAATGTAATTTAGTTTACGAGATGTTTTTGCTATAATTAAGAGTAATATTATCTTTGTGGTGGTTAATTTAAACTTATGGAAAACCAACCAATTTATATGAAAAATGAAGTACAGAAAAAAGATAGGTAGTTATTTAGTTCTCAGAATGATGATTTAGTTCTTAGATGTTACGAAGTCGGCATTTCGATATTAAAGAAGCTTCACAATGAAAAGTTATTCTTTGTTCATTAGCGCGGCGACAGCAGACGTTATTCGCGTCGTCGTAAAACTTTTAATTGAAATGTATCAAGTCGGGAGCACTTCGAAGATTCCTAACGGTTTTGTTTGCACCCGACACAACGTTCCGTGTCAATTAATTTCCTAAAGTGGGCAGACGGTCGAAGTGGTGACCAAAAACAATGCTCGTATTTCGTAGTCGCATCCGGCTGGCTGCCGACACAATGTCTGTGCCGTTGGAACTAGAAAAAACTTGGCCATTGTTTGTAGTCTTTTCTATTTCTTAGTTTTCAGCTAGTTGTTTTTCACTGTTGCTGCTGACGCGCCCACGCTAGTTGTGTACGATATAAATAATACCTATAGCTAAAATATATTTAAGGTAGTAACGTAGTGGTTTTGTTATCAGTGTTTCTAATACACTTTTATATCTTGAAATTAGTCACAAGTTATAATAAATCTCATGAGGTTTAGGTCAATTTTTATTTAAAAATATTAAAATATGTAATTTTTTTAGTAACACCAACTAAGCAAATCAAAAGCTAATTCTAATAAATTAGAAAGGTGGATCACAACTTCGAGAGATTTCTTTTAAGTTCAGTCAATTAATTCTCTACAAAATGAGGGGTTGAGGGGCGATTTTGGTTTATGTTTACTGAAATTCTTTTTATCCCAGATTCTAAGAGCATTTTGGTGAATTTTAAAATCGTCATAATGGACTTACTTTTTTAAATTTCGCATTTACGAAACTAATATTAAAGAAAATTGCTTGTCCCCTTTGGTATCCGGTAGCTCAGTTGGAATAGCACTAGTTCGGATAGCGAGTAGTTAGAGTCCAATTGACCTACCCATAAATAAATTTCAAATTCATGTAAAGAATATACTTATGAGTACAGGCTATTATAAAGATGATGATTATTTTAAGGATCGCAATGCATGGAATTAATAGCCTTCGCTTTGTTCTATAAAGACTAATTATATGTTCAACCTATGTCCTACAAACTTTGAAAGTTGTATTTATTATTGTGATAATACATATTATTTTGGTAATGATATGATTTATGTAAATGTCATTACTTAAGATAAAAAGCTGGTAAGTTTCTTTCGCTTGTTCTTCTTGTTAGCTTAAAGACGTCCTGAACAAGTGGTAGGGGAAAAATATTTTTTTGGACGATTCAAAAGTGCTTGTAATAACCTACTTGAATAAAGATATTTTCATTTCATTTCCAGCCTGACCCGTTTTTAAAGTATTTATTACATAACATCGTTCTGAAATAAAATATTCGTATTGTGGCCACTTGGTAAACTCTACTTGGATTTGAGTATGTGTCCATATATAACGTGATAACTATTATACTATTTTGGTTAGTAACAGTGCGAGTTATCTGCCTGACAACAAAAATTCCTTATGATCTGTTGCTGTCGCCGTTCGGTAAAGATCAATAAGGCACGCTCGGAGCACCTCATGGCCCAGGGTTCGTGCCGAGTTGGCATCGCGTGACGTATTCCGTTATTTAATAATGTCTTCCCTGCTCATCCGTTTGCCTTTGTTGTTAAAATGTTACTTTTGTTGCCGTAAAGTACTTCCGTGTATTGTTAAAAAAAATATTTTTCCTTGCCAAGATAAGTATTCTCTACGCGATGCGTTAACGTTAAATAAAATCAAAACATAAACAATGTCGAACAATGGTTTTCTTTCTTTTAATTTAAAAGGGCGTTGAATCTATTCGGTGGTTCGCTAGGAACAAAGGATTAATTTAAAAATTAATTGCCCGCGAAGTAATAAATAAAAGGTGGACGTGACATGTAAATAAAAAGAGTGGTCGGTGCGGAACGACAGAGCGCCGCGTTGGAAGAAAGGGCTCTGTCGTCACGGCGGCCGCGCCGGCACAATGCCGCTGATTTAAAACACTCGACAAACTTGCATTCCCTTATCTTTCATTAGTGTCGGAACTCTTAGCCGTCCTAGACAGAATCCATTAAGACAATGTGACGCTTAATATTAATTAAAGTTAGATAAATGGTGTAAATTGCTAATTTAAAATTTTGATATACAATATTCGTGATGCGTCGACTTACGTGACTAACGGTGCTGGTCGTGCCAGTAGACCTGGTGAACTAAATACTTGTACTGACATTATTATGAATGCTTAAAGGATGTCATGAAAGAATGAAATAAGGGGTCGTATTAGCTAGGTTACTATGGTTTTAGGCAGGTGTGATTTTTCTTCTAGCCAGGTTAGCTTTAGCATTCATTTGAATAAAAATATTTGACAATGTTTAATATTATAGTGATTTCGAACACAAGCAAGCGATTTACTCATTGCTGCTATCCTAAAAGACGACCAACTATACACCTGTAGTGCTATTTTGTAATAAAATCAGCGTTGAACTAGACGTTGGTGCACTGCGCTGTCACAAAATAAGAGTTCCAAAGAAATCAAACCTTTATTACCTTTTGAAGTAGGTTTTTATTGGATTGAACGTCTATGCGGAACGGCCCACGAAATTTTTCAAATCGGCCCAGTAATTTGGAATCCTATTTGATGCAAATAAATATACATCCGGTTTCTGAACTGACAGTTTCAAGTTCAGCACGTCTCAAACCATAAACGTCAATTAAACAGGTTTGCATTACTGATTTATAATTTTTTGATAAAACTAGGACTTTTTCTCATATGAATAGTAAAAAGCTTAAGTTATTGAAATTAATCAGTTGAGATTTTGTGCTTTTCTCAATTCAGAAACCGGTCGTTAGACAGCATAATTGGAGACCTGATAAATATTTAATGTAGTGTGAGCGGCTTGTAATAAAAGAACAAGCGCTTACCCGTGAGTAGATCGGGTGTGTAACGCGGCGCCAGCGCAATAGAAGAACAGTTCCAGCGTTCGCCGGCATGTGCGGCCAGGCAAGCGGCGCGCGCCAGTCTCGAGGCAGTGGCCACGTGTGCCATAGCGGTCGGCTGCCGTCGGCATACGCGTCCCTGCGCGCTCCACAGCGCGCCATCGCGACGTGCCAACAAACACTCACTCTCCGTCCAATTGCCTTCGCTCTCGTGCAACGATCTACAATATAATACATTGCCTTCAGATCACAGTATAAAAGTCACATTCATATTACAAATTTCTTACCTACTACAAAATTTTCCGTTAGTAAATTTCATATTTCGTTGATGTCTTTTGGGTAAGAAAATGAACTGGGAAAAAAAACTAAGCTTTTTTGGTCAGTTTAATTTACTATACAGGGCAGTGCTATAACTTGATCTAATTTATGTTTATACGTGC